GATTTTCACTATGGTTTATGTTATATCCAAACAGTTGTAACCCTTGTAGATTCTATGGACTTCCAAAATTCACGAGAATAATACTCCACTAAGAACAGTGGTTGATTTTACAAATTCACCGACATACAATCCAGCGAAATACATAGCTAAGATACTTAAACCGTATGAAAAACTGATTAATCATATAATTAAAAACTATGGAATTCAAGAATATTATCGATACCATCGATATACAAGAGGATGAAATACTGGCAAGTTTTGACGTATCTTCTTTATTAACTAATATACCTGTCAATAGAGCGTTGGATATCATCTATGATTGTTTAGAATCTGATTCAGATTTGGATTTAGGTTGCCCATTAGATCCATCTGAGGTTATCAAATGCTTGGAATTATGTTTGAGATCCACATTATCCATATTTCGAGACCTTTACAGAAGGTATAGCAATGGGTTCACCTGTTTCTCCGATTGCAGCGAATTTATTCATGCATGCCCTAGAAACCAGTGCAATCGAGAGAAGCGTATGTCCACCAAAGGTTTGGTTACTTTATGTAGATGACCTTTTTGTTATCATTAAACGGGCTTAGAACAATTTTTTGAACATGTAAGCAACATATCGGAAAGCGAAGAAAATTTTCTTTTCGACGAAATCATTTACTTAAGCTGTACATTCGTATATATAGTTATATGGAAAATACATGTCTATAGGAGGATAGAAAAGATTGCATCACAAAAGTGGATTCGAGACTCTTATTATTAAATGAGGTTACGTACTAATCAAGGGGTAAGGAAGAAAATCGTTTATGGGTCAGATAATAGTCCAATTGACAGATATGAAGAAAAAAACGACAAACATAAAGGTCATAATCAAGAAAACTTGTATAAGGTAACAATAATAAGAATAATAATAATAATAACTTATTATAATTTAAAATAGCAAAATAATAATTTAAAAAATTCAATAATGGTCAGATAAAAGTGCAGAAAGAAAGAAAAAAATATCCAGAAACATACCCATTAAGGGAATTAAGGCCAAGGAAGGATGAGAGGTTGGACGAATCGTTTCTGCATGCAAAGTTCGGGCTTGAGTTTGTGGATTACCAGTGCCTCAGTAGTACATAATATATTGATTCGAAATCTCTTTGACTATGTAGATTCTTTTAAACGAGGAAGCATTTGAAGCGATGTGTCCTGTATAGAAACAGTAATTGTTTTACATTCACCTTTTAAAAGCCAAGCCGGACAGTGTTCGTAAAGTGATCGCTTTGTGCGGCCTATGTAACGTGCCCCACATGAGCAAGTAAATTTATAGATACACATTGATGTGGCCCAAAGCGGAATTTTATCCTTAACACATCCAAGAATGGTAGGTCGGCTTGAGAAAACGATTCGGAGCTTAGCTGCGTAGAACGTTTTATCCAACGATTTTGAAAGCCGTTTATTTAAGATTTCAGCAGCCGTGTCTCCTTTAAATTCCATACTCATTAATAACGTTTTCTTCTGTACTGTCGATGCTTTTTCAAGATGAAGTCTAGGTGTTAAGTTGCTATCGACGAATCTAGGTGGATAACCATTTCTGATGAGAGTTGAAATACTTCCTCATCTATTGTGTCAGTGGAACAGATTCGTTCGATCCTAGAGGATAAAGAGTGAATTAAGTTTCTCTTTCTACTCAGTGGAATCCAACTATGAAAATTCGTGTACTGTCCATTCCAGGTAGGTTTTATATATATATATATCTTTAAAAAAACCACCCAGCATCCTTTGCCTCTGCTTCTAAGGTGAATTGAATTGAGGGGTGGCAACTATTAAAACTATTCAAACTGTCATTGAGGTTCACGTTGAGTGTACATCGTAGTAGTTCTTTGAGATAATGTTACAGATAAGGAAGATCAACAAATTGAATGGAATAGAGTATTGTCTACACTTAGGGATAACAACTACCCAAAACAGTTTTTAAATAAGATTGTTATAAGTGAAGGAAAAATCAAACTAGAATGTATACGGAAAGACGGGAAGCCCACCGTGGTCACCCTATACCGTAGTGAAACATAGGAAGAAATCCGGCGGATTCTAAACAAGCATGAAATAAGAGTGTATTTTCGAGCGAGTGACACCATAATATCGACATTAGTGAAAGTTAAGGATAGGTTACCAAAGGAAGAACAACAAATTATTGTCTACGAGATCAACTATCATGATTGTAATGCAGTTTATGTAGGAGAAACACCCAGATAGTTGAATGTAAGGTTGAAGGAACACAAACAGAGTTTGAAAAATGTTCCCAAATCCTCGGTAGACTTAAAGAAACTTGAGAATAAGTCTGCGATAGCTTTAAATACGTTAGAAACAGGACACAAGATTAATTTTGAAGGGACAAAAATAGTTCAGAAAGGTTTTAACATTCATAAGGAAAGATTGAAACAGAAACACTGTATATATGAACGAACGCGAACAGCTTGAACAGAAAAAATGGTATTCAACAAGCGACTACCTGGAAAATATTCGTTGAGAAGTTATTCGACCCTTTCTTTATTCAACCTGTTTATTTCACATCCATCGTTATTTTGACTGAAATTAATGTGTTATTTTAGCAATACAATTATGTATTTGATGAATCACATTTGACACGCACATCTATGATTCAGAAATAATCTTTTCAACCTTGAACTTGCACTTTTATTTATTCATTCATATAAAACATTAACACTGAATATCATTAATACCTTAGTCTTACACATACATACAATTAGTTTTCCGTCATTTATTTCCACATCGTGAAATTTTCACATGATTCCCATGTAACTGACTCATGTTATCCCACTTACAAAATCAACATCCAAATATGATTGGATTAACATAGTAGAGATTTGATTGTTAAACGCTATATATATATTTCACCCTGACGTAGTCTAGACAAGTTAGCTGGACGAAACGTTGGAATTATCTAAATTTCAATCGCTGAGATTATTTCAAATAATTTTCACATAAAATGTCTTGTCTGTACTCGGCGCCCAATTCCTGTCAAACTATTGGTTCTAATCTTGACCAATCTTCGTATAAATTAATATTGTAATTTACAAATAAACAGAAGCACATACCTTAATTTCATAATTATCTATCACCAACAAAAGTGCGAAATCAAAAGGGGTTTTGTAGAGATTTTATTAATTTCAATAGTTGAAATCGTGGGTCAATTGAAGCTAGACCACCATGGAAAACCTGGAAGGATTGGATGGCCGTTTCGCCCTATTATGGGACCCCTCAGCAGTGCGCACCTGCGATTCCGACCCCAATGAGACTCGAACCCAGGACCTATCAGTCCAGCGCGCGAGCGCTTAACCATTAGACCACTGAGCCGGCATCCAACGGTGTTAATGTCTAACTTCAACCAATCTACGAAATTGCGCGACCGTCACCATTGTCTTAAGTGAGCTGATATCTCACAACAAAGCTGGTTGGACTCCACTGGTCACGGCTTCTCACTAGAACTCCAGGAGTGTCTCTTGAAGTCAGTCACTAGTGAGCGGATGAGTCCCATACTAGGACGAGACGGCCGTCCAGGTTTTCCATGGTGGTCTCGCTTCAAATGACTCATGATTTCAACTACTGAAAAGTGTGAAAGTTTAACCTATCAAGGCTTTCATACTGAGGGCCCGTAAACTTAGGCAAACTAATCGAAGAGTTTCACAAGACATAACACATAACAAGGTAGCACAGTGGTGCTTAAAATGGCAACTGGAGCTTAATACGGCTAAATGTGGATGGATATGCTTCGGCGATACATCACTCAACCTAGACCTTACCATAAATAGAGAAGTGTTATCTAGGTTACATACAGTAGTAGACTTAGGACTTAGATACTCCCAAGACTTGTCGTTTACAGAACAGATATTGAAACAAACCTCTAAGTCTGAAAGTCTAGTAGGATACATTACTCGAAACCTTTATAGCAATGAGTCACGTACTTTAATGTACAAAGTTTGTGTTCGACGTTTTCTAGAATATTGCACGTTCATTCTTAGCAGTACACGCATAAAGGATAAATTAAGGCTGGAATCAGTACAGAGACGATTTACACTTCGTATTCTTGGAGCTGATTGTACCTTAACTTATAATTCTAGATGTAATAAACTTGGGCTAGACCCTTTATGGAAGCGGAGACTCAAACTAAATCTTATCTTTTTCTTCAAACCACTTAAAAAACTATCCTTTACATTCAATCACGTGATTTAATATGCAGAAACTTCCCATTATGACATCCATAATTCCTTGGCACTAGTGAAACAAACTTATTCTAAATCATCTCTTTATATGAATTACTTTACCTGTAAATTTTCTAGACTCTCGAATAACCTACCACAATCTATCCGTACGATAAAATCACTCCGATTATGTGTTCGCTGCATACTGCTCCTCTGAAAATGCATTGAGTGTTCTAGCACCTGTAATTATATCTCATTCCACAAGTGATATTATAGGAACTTTAAATGTTTAGCCATCTTTATTAGTGCATTCCCTAAGTAAAACCACCTACTTGCTGTCACTTTATGTTAACACCGTCCCCAGCAATTTTAACTAATTTGAATAACATCAACAGTATATCACTGTGTCACATGACACACGCATTTTGGTAGACCTGATTGACATATTTTGGTAATTACTCCTTTGTTGTTCTGTGCTGTGTTCGTTTTAATTTCTCTAGTTGTAGGTAATTATCATAAATTCGACCTCGTACACAAAACGACCTTAATTACACCGTTCATAAATCAACAGGCTATCCATTTAAGAAATATTAAAAATTCTCGGCTGATGCATTGGATCGCTGTAATACATGTACTACCTAAACAATTACTGAACTAGCATACTTAAAACTTTCTTCTATCACATGTTTGTTCTGTACATCTAATGTTAATATTTATATCAAATTGATCATGCCTATAAACTGACTTGAATTCTGTAATTATTATTTTCAGAATATATAAATTATTATTATTATTACACGATAAAATATGACAAAACTGACAGAAGAATTATCAATAGAACAGGGAATAATACCGAATTGACTAGTCGTTATTAAGTAATTAGCGTACTTAAACCATAGTCTTAAACTAAGCTGATCCATAATAATGTTTTAGTAATTATTTACTCTACTCCATATTTAATTGTTCCGACAGTCAACGTAAACTGTATGCTTATTTATTTGTCGCTGCGTAAGTTTTGTAGTACTTTATTTTACATATTGGATTGCAGTGACTCATTCCTTTAACCTATTTTTTTCAGAAGATAGTTTCGGAAATAGATATATTTTTTCACTTTAGCTACATATTAAAAGTAATAAACTTTATTTACACGACGGTGTAACGGTATGTGTCATTTTTTTGTTGAACAAGTAAATTATGTTTGAATGTATAAACTCATAGATAGTATGGACACTATGAATAGATAGCAAACTTAAACTTGAACTTATAAACGGTCAATTCCATCAAGCAAACAGTCAGATGTATGAAAAATTAGTTTTCTTGTTCAAACAAGGCGTTTACTTACGGCGGTTGCAATGTTCATAATAGTGCATAAGAGGACAAAAGTCTCTTGTTTACAAAATATTTGTTTAACATACGTAAGGTACATAAAGTTAGTCCAGCTTCTACCTCTTTTAAATATTGATTCAGCTGATTGTCACGCCACTCATTTGCTGCTAACAAACGAATTTCTAGTGAACAGTAAAAATATGATCAATTAAGGTAATTCTAATCATATAGTATGAAAAATGGATTACCAGAAAACCATAAATTAATAGTATTATTTATTTGGTTTTACCTTGGAAAATATTATAATGACTACATCACTCATTATTAAATCGGTATATCTAATGGCTTGAGTTATATTATTACTGTGGTCATAACTAAGTGTTCATAAATTATGGTGAAGTCTTCAAGTTAATCCTGTGAAAATTATGTGTTTGGTAATGAAGGTTTACGCTCCAAAAGAAATAGGAGAGGAAACGAAAGTATTAGTCGACATCAGAAATGAAGTTGCCCTAAATGTCAATCATAAAAATAACCGATAATAGTTGACAAGATACTTAATTGCAAGATTTCATAAAAAGCGAAAAATAATTGGTGTGCAATAAATATATTTTTTGTGATGCCCTGGTTGTCAACAGATCCTGAAGTAATCGAACAATTGTTCATTTATGGGTCCAGACCAAAATGGTCAGTAAATTGATGTTAAACTATAGAATAAATGATGAAGAGGAGACTTTCTGATTCCTTAAAAAGAACATTCTTCCTAGCAACATTGAGAATATTATTCTCCAGTCGATCATTGTTCACCAGTAATCTCAAAGATAAATTATCGCATCTGACCAATTTACCTGCTCTTATAGAGCTAGGTATATAGGTATTTCGATGCGTACTTTATCCAAAATAATTCAAGAACATCATTCGGCGTGACTAAAAACAGCTCAATAAGAAGTTCTATAATCGAACACCTTGTGAACACAGGTCATTCATCCAAGACAGTCTCTGCGTACAAAGTCATCTGCAAGGTACGTAGAACTATTCCTAAGATAATTAGACTGCATCTTCTCTGCGTTGCCGAAGCAATAGCTATACATCTGGAAAAACCAGAATTGTGTGTGGAAGAGAGACTGGTACAACCTCTTCTTCTACCATGAACTTAATGTATTAAAATTTTTCCCTCTTTTCATACTCTTGTTCCTTAACAGCCATCTGCTTCACCTTCCATCTTCCCTTTAAATCTTTTACGCCCAACTGGTTTGTTTTTATTTCCACAATAATTCCCATCACATTTCATCTATGTTTCAACATTTGATTTTATTATGCCGAGCCATCCTTTCCAAATGATAATTTCCCTATCTATCTTTTGATAAATACTTAAGCCAATAACAATCCTAACATTCTTAAACTTTCCTTGTTTTAAATTTTTTTAATATCTTTGTTTATTAAACCTCACTATCACCATGTTTAACAAGTTTATTATCAGTATTATCATCCTGTAAAAATAAGTGTATATATTTGCGATTGTACAGCTTTGAAAATGAATTCGCTGAAAAGAGAACTCATCGCTGAACTAATCGTTCTTACTACATGATGAAGCAACTAAAATTTACTCTTGTTGATATGATGGTTATTTATTTTTAAAGTAGTTAGCTGAGATGGTATGACTATAGCTAACTGATCAGAAAAAATTGTCGATCAATGATGATTATGAAGCTTACCAACAAAGTATCATTTTCGCTTCGAATATGTTACTAAAATTTTACATTCTTCTTAACATAGAAAATTGTTCAAGATCAAGTTAACGAAGAAAGTAATATTCTTCATCGAAGGAAAAGTAACAGTATTATGTTTTTACTGATGGTATAATTTTTGGGGATTCAATGAATGTCAGAAATTGTTAGGTCCCGAGACACATATTGAATGGTAACTTTTGGATCCTTTTATGGACCAATACTAAACGTATTTTTTTATCGTGTAACTGTTAAATAACTAAACTATTCATATTATAAACTTTATTTTGACCTATGAACCATTATTACACGTTTTACCATTCTTGAATTATGCCCTTTCTATTAGTCACTACCTCCCACAGTCACAGCTACATTTGGCCAAATTTTGTACAAATGTTATTTTCTATTTTATGCTACGTTGTGGTCGGTTTGATCGGTATATAAACTCAGTATGTCTGAAATATAAGGGTTCATATTGCAGAGGCTGAGACTAGTGTTCTGGACTTAACTGGCTGGGCTAGGCGGAAAGCAGGACTCTAGGCTGCTCGCACGTGTGTTACGTGTCCTTGGTCCGATCGATAATTCACTGCTTCTGATTGGCAGCTATGGGTTATAACAAAAATGTACTCGATCTATCTTGAAAACTGGATCAAACTCTAAGATTTCATTTCTCAATGGTTTCTTCGTGAAGAGATTTATCCGCATAATCTAACTCCAGTCGACCAGATAATGAACTTCTAGTTTTCTCCCTTTAGACAAAGGTTGAATCTAGTTCCTTTCTTTTCCACGGAGATTTTGAAAAGTATTCACAGAGGACTGTATAGACGAGTAATTGTGGTTTGCGAAATTGACTTATACACATACTTCTTCCCCAAGCGAATTGAAAATGTCTTAAATGTTATCAGACTGACTCGGAAAACGTACCAATGTTAGATACAAGCATGACATTTCAAAATAGGTCCTTGAAAACTCTTTAGAAGATCGATCAACGAAGCAAACATTCTAAGCGTCTTAAACGAAGTATTTGTTTGAACGAGAGAAAAGCAGCTTACAGAAAATCTCGATTTGTATACAGTAGCTTCCAACCTCGAAAATAGCCACACATAATGTCCGCATGTAAAGACCAACTGACATTTTTTAGAACACGTTCCAGTTTCATTTGGTAGAACAGAAGGAATAAACGTAAAACCATTCGTTTTGTAACATGTAGCTGATCGTGACTTACCTTCAGACACATAGTTTGATTTTATCTTTAAACTTACATTTAATGCATTGAAAGGTGTCCATTTGCATCTCCATTGAATGGCATAAGCATTAACAATGCCCTATCTCAAGTCATAGTGTTGTGAACGAGGACACAGGCGTAAGTAAAACTTCGGTGCCTATAATTTAAATAAAGAATGGACTATAAATATCTCTAAACTCTGATAACCGAGTTGGCTAATAAAGGCTGCTGTGGATATTCAGAGTAATAACTTTAATCAATTCGAAGCCGTGTTTCCTAATTCTAACCAATATTAGAATTCATGTTTAGCTTCCGTGTGCTGACGTCAGTCTGGATCGAATGTGTAGGTTATTTATCGCGCACAAGATGCCACCTGCCATATGACAATATCATCTGCACATTGTGAGACAATCAAATGTACTTACCTACTTGCGCCAGTTACCCCTCATGGAGGAGCATAGGCCGCTGCTGGTCAACAGCATTACCAATCCATCTCTGTCTTGAGCAATCCTTTCCAGTTGTTATTCATCCTTTTCATGTCTGCTTCCAATTCTCAGTGCACTATGCTCTTTGTTCTTCTACCTTTCCGTTACCCTGCACGATTCCAAGTTAGCACTTGCCTCATGATACAGCTCGGTGATTTCTGTAATGTATGTTCCATCAAATTCCAGCATCTTTTCCTAATTTCCTCTTTAACTGGAAGCTTGTTTGTTCTCTCCCACAATAAACTGTTGCTCATGGGATCCAGACAACGAAAATTCAGTATCTTGACTAAACAACTATTCATAATTACTTGTATCTTTTGATGCTGGTTGTAGTAGTTCTGCAAGTTTCAGGTCCGTTCAGTAGAACTGTCTTGACGTTCATATTGAAGATTCTGACTTTGATACTGGTCGAGTTTTTTTGAGTTCTATATATTCTTCATCTGTAGGAATGCATCCGTTGCTTTGTCAATCATTGCGCTTACGTCTGCATCAGATCCTCCTTATCCATCGATGATGCTTCCCAGGTACGTGAAAGTTTACACCTCTTCCAGTGCTTCTCCTTCAAGTGTGACTTCGCTGATATATATATATATATATATATATATATATATATATATATATATATATATATATATACGGATTATTGAAGTTGTGACTACGTTTGAAAGTTAGAAAAAATTGAACACATTGTCATATCTTAGTAAACAAACAAAACTAAATTACTTCCAATACCTATAAAAGATATTTTATTTTGATTACATAAAAGAACTGCCAGTTGAATATCTTTTATTGATACAAATGATGTGTAGTTCCTTTTTACTATACTGTAATTGCAATTTCGACCATAAGGACATGAAGTTGCACAATACATTTAAGTGAAGACAAAGCCAGATTCCAGGTAGACATTGTATATTTTTTCAATCGCACTGATATATGCAGCTGTACGAACATCTAATCCAAGGTTGTAGGCATTCGCAATATTCATGATGCGCTATAATATTACAAAAATAAATTAAAATTACGAACAAACGAGTAAAGTATATTAACAACAAGAAATAATATCTATAAAACATTCTTTAGAATTAGTTGATTATGAAACCGGAGAAATAGCGACTGTAAAGGTACCTAAGGGAATAGGATTAATTTCATTAAATGAAATAACGATTTTATTTTACTTTCGCCCAAATAACTAGTTTCCATTAAACCAATGTGTTGTGACTTTATGAGCCGCTTGTTATCACGTAATTTATTCAATTTATCCAATCAAAATACGACTTATTCGCTCTTATACTGTACTAAGTCAATGACGTCCGAACGGTCTGATCAGCCTAGCGTCCTATTGGTTCGTTGCTCGCCTAACCCGTCCAGCTCAGTCCAGAATGTCAATAACAGCCTCCACTATGCGAATCATTTATTTCAAACATACTGGGTTTATATACCAAACAAACAAACCGCAATGCAGCATAAAATAGGAAATAACATTCATATACAATAAAGCCAAAAAGTGGCTGTGAATGTGAGAGGCAGTAGTCAATAAACTGAACATAGCTTAAGAACAGTAAATCGTACAATAATAATATATAGGTCGAAATAAAGCTTATAATAAGGGGAATATAGATATACATAATCTAGTTACTGAATATTTACACCATAAGAATATATTAGTAATATTAGTCCATTAATAGGTTTCAGACGTTACTAGTAATGTAACCTTAACTAGGATATAACACAATGGACTCTATGTAAAACGCGAGAGAGATTGATAATTACCTCTTGAAGTGATAACAGAGTAGCAGTGAACATTACATCTGATGTAATGACTAAAATATACTGATAAATGTTATTCAGGCTGATTTACTGACAACATACGTGTCGTACTAAGAAAACAGAATTAAGTTGACGGATTAAGTGCAGGTTTAACAGGATCTGAAACAATTAGTCCCTTTCATAAAGCTTAACAGACCAGTGAAAAGCATTATTGATCTGAAAAATAAGGTGCATTCACTCTATACATTTCGAACAACCTGGAAATAAGTACACTTATCGAGGCATTTTGAAATGGAAAACAATGAAATTTAATTGATCTCCAGTCGACCTGAATGGCAAGTTAATGAAGATCCTCCGACTCTTTACGAAATTGAAAAAGCTATAGAAAATCTGAAGCAAGGGAGAGCAGCAGGCCCTGAAAAGTTTAACCCTGAGATTTTTAAGGATGGTGGTAGCGAGATTGACCGAGGTCTTAGGTAGAATCTGAGAACTGGACGTAATCCCATCTGACTGGTCTCAATCACTGATCGTGCCAGTCTATAAGAAAGGACAAATGTCCTCTTGTGACAACCACAGAGGAAAAAGCTTGACTAATCTGGTGTCTAAAATATTAGCTTCAATAATACTTCGACGCATAACTAAAGCTCGTGAAGAGCAGACTAGAGAAAACCAGACTGGTTTTCAATCTGGACGTGGTTGTATAGACCAGATATGCACACTACGTCAGGTTCTAGAATACAGACACACATTCAGACGCCCCACAATCGTAGTATTTCTCGACCATAAGCCAGTATTCGAGGTTCAATAGCAGTGTTTATAACTGAAAGGAGTACCAAAGAAGTATATTAACCTTATAAAGGCTCTCTACCCGAACACAACTGGTAGAGTGAGAGCTTATGGATAACTGTCATCAGAATTGATTACGTCAAGTGGTGTTCGTCAGGGCTGTCCACTCTCTCCATTCTTGGTTGGTTTTGTCGTCGACGTACTTTTAGAGATAACACTTTCCTCATCTAAATTTCCAGGAGTTGAACTTTTATCGGGAAATTCACTTTTTGACCTAGAATATGCTGATGACATTGTTCTATTTGGTGAAGACGCTGACAAAATGCAGTCTTCTGACCACTCTAAGCAACAATGCAAGCATATTCGGCATGCGATTCTCTCCCTCGAAATGTAAAATGTTGCTTCAGGATTGGATTACATTGACACTCGAACTAATGATAGGGAGTGAAGTAGTTGAGCGTGTCGACCGCTTCACTTATCTTGGGAGTCTCACTAGCCCTTGTGGTCTGGTGTGTGACGAAATCTCAGCACGGATACTGAAGGCTCGACTAGCTTTTACCAACTTGCGTCATTTATGGCGTAGGAGAGATATCCGTCTATCAACCAAAGGACAGGTTTACTGCGCAGCAGTTCTTTTAGTTCTACATTATGGCACTGAAACATGGCGGGTAAGAGTAAAGGATATCCGTAGTTTACTAGCATTTGATCATAGGTGTCTTCGATATATTGCTCGTATATCCTGGGACCACCGAGTAATTAATGCATTTGTTAGGAAACGGGTACTAGGTGAGGATGGTAAATCAATTAATGAAGTAGTGAAACTTCATCAGTTGAGATGGCTGGGACACGTGTTACGTATGCCCAACCACCGACTGCCTCGACGTGCGATGTTCAGTGGTATAGGAGAAGGGTGGAAGAAAGCTAGGGGCGGCCAGATCAAAACATGGCACAAGTCCATGAAATCACTGACAAGTGGACTGAGTCATGTTGGTAGGTGTAGACTACCTGGTTGGGGACCGCGAGATGATAGCAACCGATGGTTAGAGACCCTGAATGATATGGCTCAAAATCGTTTGCAATGGTGCAGGTGCATCCGCTCTTTGTGTTCTCCCAAATTCCAATCTTCTGAATTCTTCATGTCCCTTTTTTCCTCTTTCCAAATTTATTTCACCGGATTATACTCTTGCCACCTCTACCACTACGGGATCTGACTCGAAAACTGCATCTCTGTGCTAATGTGGTGTGGCATGTACGTACGTACGAAGTTCTACGTTGTTACTGACTGACTGAATGGAAAGTTAACATTTTATCCAACTGAATTTCATTAGTTTTTATGACTGCTTTGACAATTATATGTGACCATATTGTTTGTAACGTATAATGCAAATACATCACATTTTTGACATTAACTACATCTTCTTACTGCTCTGATAGAATTACAATGTACATCATGTTAGATCAAACAATGATCAATTAAATATTTCAGTTTTAGTATTTTGCTTTCATTTTTGAAACAATAAATCTAATTAACTAGGAGTGGTTGGCTGATAAAACGCAATTGTGTTTTCGTATATGTTCATATCAGCGTTGACACAACTACGATAGCATATTGGTTTAGTTGAATCTCGGATAGACAAAGGAGGAATGTTTGAGATCTAGTGTGTGGGTGCAACTCCAAAACCAAACATACTAGAGTTATAACCGATAACCAATGAAATAAATGTTCAAGACCCAAACGTCAGACGATATCAAGATGACATCTAAATGTGATTCAACAGTGCTTAATCAAGCATATTCCAACATGAAATATCAGTCTATTTAGCGTAAAATGTAATAAAAGTCATATTTTCAAATATATCTTTTTGTTTCCAAAGTCTATTTATCTTGACTCTGTACAATGAAAATAACCGAAATAGCCTAATCAGAGAAATGAGTGAGTGACTTCTTTTAACGATATAAATTTCTGCTGCAGTTATGCTAGTGACTCTTGATCCCTAACGAGGGCTGAAACTGTTAAATCCGAACGAAGAATGAGTGGTAACTGCTAGGAATTATTTATGGACCATTATCACATATATTCTTATTGGATAACTATTATGTAAATAGTGTTTTTTGTAAATTCATGTTCCTTTTATCATAAGCTTTCATCTGACCTATTGACTACTATTATACGATTTAGTATTCTCAAATTATTACCAATCGATTAGTTAGTCTCTTACACTCATAGCCACTTTTGGTTTAATCTTGTATAACTGTTATTTTCTATTTTATGGTGTGGTCTGTATATAAACTACGTATGTCTGAAATATATTATCCATACAGTGGAGACTGAGATTGTGTTCTAGACCCAAAGGGCAGGGCTATGCGATAAATTACTATTTTGAGGACCACTGAAGATTCAGAGTTGACACAAGGCTACTAGTGCTGGTTGACATGTCACTAGTTTAGCACAGGAATGAGGTCATATAATTCGGGATTCTGATTAACGGTTTTGTCACGTGATAATTGACAGGGGCAGAAGCCATAACAGAAAAAACTAAGGTTTAAGTACTCTTGATCATCTGCTTTAACTACACCTTTCGTAATTTAAAGAATAAGGAGGATAGACGTAGAACTATTAATTAACCGGATATCAATCAGTAATACATTGGATGGTACTTATATTATGATGACATCTAAAACATGAAATAATTGTTTTAAATGTAATTATCACACTGAATCACACTATAAAACTAAGTTGGTGTCAACTTACTTTAGCAGATCGCTCCATAGTATACTCCAGACCAGAGTGAACAATATCGCGTTCAGATGCCCCCTGAAGTGTTAATGTAAAAGCAAATTAAGTAAACTAGATATTATTATTGAATTTAAAAAATTAGATTAAGTACAAATAATGATAATTGTAAGATGCAAATTGACCATTGTATTCTGTAAGTGGATTATCGTATTAAAAGCAAGTGTCTTGGAAAATAAAGTATGAGAATTGAAACTAGTATCATATTAACATCAATACGATCAAATATAGGGGATATCAAAAAGCTTTAGAAATTACAGATCTATATATTCATTTAAAGGGCTCAGCAGTTTTCGAGGCTATGAGTAACAAAATATGTATTCAATTTTGTAAATTCCAGTGATTGACTAAAAACTTGATTAGTACATTTGTATCTAAAGAGAATTTTGTTAGATTTCTAGACTCATCAAAATCATTCAACAGAACAACCATGTGATTCGAATATAGTTTAGATTATGGAATGAAAACCGTTGAAGGATCACTGAAATCCAGCAAGCATTGATCAGATTATTCTATGATTTAGGAGCACGAAATTCCGACATGGATTTCGAAAACTTGCTTGGCTTTTGCCAGATTGAGTTACTTGTGACGCCGGCTTATTGAATGATGAATATACAGCATACCAGTTTAATCAGGCATATGGGTTTGAGAGTAAAAAAACATATGTAGGCTGTGGATATTTGACCATAGTTGCTTTCAAAGAATTCTTCATTAATTGTGGAACGACCAAGTGAAAAATCGTAAGACTAGGCATAGGATACTAAGTGTAGATGGGGTTGTGAATCTTGAACGACTGTGGCATGTTTTATGTATGTTTTATCACAGCTTACCTCGAAGTGCGATATTGCCTGGCAGAGAAATAGGGATAGACACACCAAAGACATGTCATCAGTTTGTGAAATCACTGACTATTAAACTAAGCTGAGTTGACAGACCCACATGTTCTGGTTGCGGTCCGCTAGATAACCCAAACCAATGGTTGGCGGCTTTGGGTCAAAGTGGGACAGATGCATCCACCCTGTATTCTCGCTTAAATGTAAGCTTTAACATTATTTTAAACTTTTTATTCGTCAAATTCAACCCTTCTCGAAATAAGTATTTCAACGTTTAATCTTTCTACATTATAATTGATACGACTATTATTTCGAATGTTTCACAATTAATCATGTTAATTTTATCTCACTATGACATGTTATGGTAACTTCGGCTAATATTTTTTCTAGGTTCTACGTTCATCTACTTGTCAGTCATACACACCGGTAACCTGAAATGTGATCGAAGCCTATCAAAGTTATTTTATCCTAAAGCTAAAAGGCAACTCCTTGACCCAAACTATAGTTTAGTTTCCACAGACAACCTGGAACAGATGAAAGCAAACTTATCATTACATATAAGACGGACAAAAACGGTTTCATTAAAACATTATTTCAGATTTACTCTATATACTGTAAAAGTTTTCTGTACTAACCAACCGTCTAAACTCCCAATCCTCTTAGATGATCTACAGAGATGGACATAACCCGAAAATTGACAGAGTATTACTACAAAGATCTATCAATTGAAATCATTTGAGTTGAGAAGAGTAACTTTAGCACTAGGTATCCAACATTAGGCTACACAAATACGATACAAATCAAGACATGTCACCTTACAAGTTCGAAGCCTCAACGTTACAAGGTTTATATAAGTACATTATTAAACCGTAGTTTGTAGATCATTCAAAAAATGTATAACAAGGGATTGTCATTTGCAGTGGATAAATGTTATGAAACTGCAGTTAAACAGCCTCAAACATGCACAATAATCTTTATTAATAAATTACTCAAGGTGTGCACATATTAAAGAGACAAAAATCCATTACTGAATAAGTATGGGCCATTGTGGCACGCCGAACACTAAACAACAGTGCTAAACAAACTAAATTTAATATAATTCGAGTGTGGCGCAACTACATATAGATTATTTATGTAAGCTGGATCTAATACAAATATTTTAACCGGCTATGATTTATGTGGATACAATTTTCAGGAAGAATTTGCATACAATAGATGGTCTAATAACAAGATAGCATACTTTCCAAATAATTTTAATTCTGATAACATGACAAAAACAGGAGACCAAAAATACCAAATTACCGCAATGCGAAGCTGAAAATCTTCGGATGGTGTAATCGGTATTTTGTCAGCGAACTTCTTCTCTAGAGACTGTTGTACACTATCTGTAATTTAAAAAAACGAGGTAAATAAATTTATCTCTGGATAAAAATGTGAAGTGAATGAGTTAAATGTTAATTCGACTAACATTCAAAATATGACAACAGCTACCAGCTACAGCTTGAGGCACCTAGAATTCCAGCCCCATATGTGAAACTAGCATACATACACTTCCAGATTGCAAAAAAAGATTCAATTTTAACTCTAATTAGCTATCCCAAATATTCAAATCTTAAGGTTTTCACAATTCAGAACCTATTTTTTTCCACGTCAGTCTACCCCCTCCTATTTTTTGATTCAGTATTTCTCTTATCTTTCCTGATTTTCTGTGTTACTGTAAAACGCAGTAACTTAAACTAGTGCTTTCATGTATGACTACTGTTTTTTAAATAATTCTCGATGAACTGGCAGACACTAAATGGGCATCAGAGACAGAAATGAAAGAGTTAAACTGTTGTTACTAAGTGGGGTTCTTAGTTTTACCTTAGATTACATTTCATTCATAAATTAGATAAAACCTTAGTTAGTTTGAGCAATCAAAACTCCTCATCGTATTCTGCTTCCTGTTTGTCAATGTGCTTAATCTGACCTGAGTTCACAGGGTATTTTCCTCGTCTGCCATTGATTGCTGCTGAATAATGGACAGTTAAGCTGTTTCTCAAGACGTTGAGCCCTGGAAGTAGATTATCGACCCATAACTCCCAGCAGTTATTGCTAACCGATTGATTGATAAGGTTAGAGATCAATACCAAGAGGCTAGACAAACACGACACCAGTCACTACTCAGTGGTTAATTAATTGAAGATATGTTATATTTCATATGGAATATGGACTTATAAAGACTTTATTTCCCCCAATAGGAGGTAAACAGATGTGACCAAATGAGTTCCGATTAAAGATTTGATTCATAGTGAACAAATGCATTTCTAGACTCGCTTCAAATGAGGCATTTTCGAGGTCTGCAAGACATCTACCTAAATTCCCCTACACAGAGAAACCGTATAAATACTCTTCAATCGACATGATGATATCATTGCTTACTAGAAATAACATTCTCTATACCCCAAATAAAATCTGGTCGGGAGATTTTATAGACTTTGCCAAAAATGTTATATCTAAACATAATTCACGAGTAAGTCTGTAGTAAATGAGCTTTCAGTATGATATTAAGAGCTCGTATGACCAAAAATAAATAAATATGAGAACACATTATTACTGACTAGTGGATTCCATCAATAATTTAAACATACTGTCGACCATTAGTACAGTGAATTTGTAATTTCACGTGCTATGGTTAATAGTAAGTTGCGCTGCTAACTAAAAACTGGGAACACTAAGGCAACTTGTCGGTTTTATTTTCGTGTCATTAACTCACGAAAAAGTCGATTATCAGAAACACCTTCACGATTGAAGTAAAATACATACTGGACGGCAACCCAATGAGTATTAGGTACGAGAAGTATTAATTCAAGGTAGATTATGACGTAAAAAGACCATATTACTCCTTTTAATAGTTAATTAACGTAAAATATACTTTAAAAATAGTACTTATGTTTTCGATTTATGAAGATGAAATAACTTACTTAGTAACTGATAGTTGGAATCGCGTTCGTATTTAAAGGTTAGTCGACCATAGCTCACGTGATTTAAATTTTTAAGCCATTCAAAATACGAGACAGTAACACCACCAGCATTCAGATACAAATCTGGAATAACCAGCTTATTCTTCTCCCGCAGTATCTGGAATGGAATTAAATACGGAATATCTACAGTTGAACTGAACTTAAATCTATGATTTGGCATACCGCCAACCAAGAAATTCAAATCTAGCAAACGAAGTAAGAGAATTAGTGAATACAGTGGACTAGCTAACAAAACTGTGATTTGTGGGATGGCGAAAATGTAATTTATGAACTTTATAAAAAATGCCATGAAATATGAGCACCATATTTAGTGAATTAGTTGCCAAATGATTAATTCTGTATCTAGACAGAAGTTTGTTTATGAAACAACAAATAAGCTCGCCAAAAAACTAACTTTATCAGCTTTTGGTGTGGTGGGACCATTTGCACCCTCCCCAATTAATTTTGCTCTGATCTTATCAGCGTTGCCACTATGGATTTGTTTTTCATTTGCCGCAGGAATAAGGATATCACACTCTTCGAAAAGAAGAGAACCTTTTGTATATGGTTTTGCATGTGGAAAGCCAACAATCGTACCATTTGCCTATCGTTAAGTAATAAAACAGAAGTTTTGATAAAACAAATATAGCACAACCAAAAATAGTGAAAACTAATACTGTAATTAACAGAAGCTAGACTTCTTCGAAGAACAAGTCACTTAGATATTTTTTTAGACGGGGTATCATGCCTTATTATTATTTATTTATTTGAACACATAAATGTTGGTACAAGAGGGAACCAAATATATATGCGCCATATATATATATAATGCCTTAAGGGCAGCTAGATTTTTAATGCTGAGTTTGGTCAAAGTATGAACCGGAGATGGAATTTTATATCGTTCTTCGTAGTGAAGAAGCCAGTTTGCCGCTTTCACGAAACACAAATTCTCCTTATTACACTGGAGCAACCTCCGCCACTGGTATCGAGACAGATGTCTAGAAAGTTTTAAGTAACACGTAAAATACGTATCAATCAGAAAACTGATTCATAACAAAAGTAAATAAAATGAAATGACAGAAGTTTAGACGATACCTACAGATGTTCAGTATAGACAACAGGCAAGACAGTAACTAGTGCTGAATCAATGTGATAAACAAATTAGACAGATGTATACTGATTACTAAATTTTAAAAAATGCAATTCACAAACCCATGAAAATATCCTACTTATCAATCCGAAAGAGCTGGCGCTTTAGACTTTATTTTGAGGAGAAAAAACGTGAGTCGTATGCAGATGACTCTTTGGTGCTTATATTTGTGAACTACTTATGACTATATGTAATATGCTAAGAGTACAACGAACGCATATATCGACGTTACGTGAATTCCAGTAGTATCAAAAATAGGGTCCCTAAAATAATAGCTACTAAAGGTATTTACTACTTATACAGAAACTATTTAAATGATGGGAAAAGTTTGTTGTGGAATATTACGACACGTTATATGAAGTAATGCAAATTATGAATGGGATTCCCATAGATGTAAACTCAGATTACAATTGCATTTCGTTCTGTTGAGTGATGGTTTATTAATAAGGACGTTCAGCTTTCCACCACTAAGTCCCACATTTGGAAACCCACCTACCTGCTTCGGTTTGAGCAACCGGGAATAATCACTATTCAAAACATCTTAAGTATTGCTCTTACCCAAGTATCTGGTCAACGAATAAGTTGACTATATCGCTAGAGTTCAGTAAGTTCTTACCGACACGAGCGGATTAGTCACGTGTCGAAACTTCATACATAGCCAAGGTTATCTCATGAAGTGTAAATTTGAAGTATGAACTATGTCATAATCTATCGACGCAATCACCTATTTTTGAATTGGCACCTAGGTAATAGTATATTACATCTATTTTATTTATTTGTTTATTTAAACACATAAACACTAATACAAAGAGGGACCAAAAACATACATGTGGCACACAATAAGTATCAGATTGTGAAGAGATAGAGAAACGATGAGTATAATAAAAAAGAACAACAGTGAATAGAAATTAATGCATGAGGGTGAAACAATAATAATAATAATAATAATAGGAGCAGTTCAGTTAGGCAAAATACAACCACACAGAGGATTCAATTAGGGAGTTCCTCTTACTTATATGAAGAAAGTAAGAGCTACAGAATGATCGCTACTGGATTCTACTCTGAACACCGTGTCGTATCGCCTCAAGGACTTTGAACAGAATCGTGAAGAAACAACGGATGCCGGTCCTATACAGCTTTCTTCCGTACCCCAGTACTACGTCAAAAACCAACAACACCTTCGCATTTTCCAATCAGTCCTTGCGTCAGCAAATAATACACGATGTGGAATTTGCTGAGACAAAATTCGTAGCACATGTACAATTCACCGAAGTCAGTGATTCGAAATGGTCACATCAAATGAGTTATCATCGCTGTGCCAAAATACACGTTGATGAACCTGTGCGCTACTAACATGGCGTGTCACTGGATGTCAGCAAACTTCCAAAGACAACGACGATCAAACACAGAGCCGTTTAACATCCTCAACTTCGAGATCAGGTTCCATAACCATACCATATAATTGCTCTCATCGACGCATTACAGATCCAACCCTTTACAGTCACACTAACATCATAAATGGCCCAAATTGGCATAAACTGCTCTGGCCTTCCCTATACGTGAACTGATTTCATCATTCATGTCACTACCAGCATTTATGCAGCTACCCAGATACATGAACTCGACTACTTATATCTGTTCCCTACCAAGAGTGAACTCAAGTTCAGGATTCTCTCAGTCCTGTACAAGTACTATGCACTTAGAAGATGGAAAGTACACGCTATACATACGGACACTGATTATGTGCGAATTGCATGACTTGGGTATCATCGTACAGCAAGAAAATATCATCCGCATACTCAAGATAGAAAAGTCTTTCTCCAGATAACAACCACATCACAATTATCTACACCCATCATGGGTGCATCTTAAACGTCATCCATGGGAAATTGGAAAGGAATGATGAGATTCGGTAACCCTGTCTAACCCTACTGCTTGAATACACAATGGAGAGGTGGCTGTATGCTTTCATTCTCTTTGAAGTGTTTGCATATAGGACCTTAAAGATGTTAATACTCTTCTCAGGTACACCCTTCTTCAACAGACAATCTTAGAGAACAGTTTAGTTCAATGGATCGAATGCGGCCCTGATGTCGAAGAACACAATGATTGTTGACCTGAGATAAGTTTGGCGGCGTTCTGACATTTAACAGGGGGTGAAGATATGATAAATATATCTTCGAGCAGATCGAAATCTAGCCTGCTTCTTGCGTAAAGAAGGGTATGATCAGTCTTGTACACAACCACGCCAACTGAACGTGATGTGATCAATCTGAGTCCAGGCTTGAATGCAGAGTTAGGACACCAGGTAGTACATCGGCGATTACTGTACCGGCAGTTAGTCCTAATCAGAAACAGTCTGTAGTCTGTGCAAAGTTCCAGTAGACGCTCACCATTATCTGACCTGCAACCGACGAGTTCCCATTGGCTACTCAAACGGATCCGCTCGGTCTCTAGACGCCCGATCTGCACATTCGAATCTCCGGCTAGTACCACAATATCTGTTGGACGCACTTTCCGGAGACCACTTAACTGGTGGTAGGACTCATCCTTGATAGAATCCAGGCAATTTGTTGGGGCATAGACAGAGATCAAGAAAAGTCATCGTTTCCCATACCGATTTCTTCCCAATTTGATGAGGCATTCTTACTTAGTAGTAAATAATCGACCGTTGATTGGGACCTCATAGATTAGTCCTGCTTATATTCTGGCACTTAGTGCAACGCCAACGCTACATAAACCGGACGAAGACGTCACAGGGTCCCTGGATAACCACACACGAAACAAGCTTTTGAAGCAACAGATGGAGAGCCAATTTACAGTTCTTCACTAGAGTCTTGAATACAGATATCGGATAGACAACAGACATCGATGTTGAAACCTTCTGAAGACATAGCCAACCCTATCTGTTGTCCGATCTGGATTAGTGTGTGCTTTTTGAAGGAGGCTAGTTAGGGTGGCATAGGTGGATTCAGAAAGGCTGGTTCAGAACTCGTGTTCGGTGCTAGCGCTTAACCCTTGACCAGTCAGTGACTTGAGATCGTTTAAATAGGACAGGATTTCTACCATAGGTGAGCTGCTACATGAGTTGAAGGATAAAGGAATACACAAAGTGTGATTGAAGGGATAGACAAGTGGTTCAATGTAAAAATGACTAATTACAATTAGTTTCCAGTATGATTTGCGAGGATGGGAGTAAAAGCATAAATAGTTTATCTAGATGCAGTCGTTACTTAGTTCGTGTGGATTGGGATACTACTTGGGCGCCTATACCGAAGTAGGTGGTTTTCTTAAAAACAGTCCCATAGCAATTTCAGTGAGTAGAACTTCCCTGGTACTGGTTATATAGGCATAACCATATGAGAGCATTTCGAAAGGAAGAGTAAACTATCCACACCCTCAGCCATACTAGGGTATTTGGAGGCGTTACATAGCTATAACGAGTGATGAGCCACATGCTCGTTTAGCATATTCGAGTAGTACACAAAAAACAGTTTTACTATCTGTATTTCATACACTATGTTGCCAGTAAAGGAAACTGCATAGATGAAGCATCATGATAATGAACATGAATAAACCCTAGAATTAAAAATTTAAATATTCGATCAATGGACGCCACTAGTAACAATGAACTGCAGACCCTTAGATGAGTAACTCATGTTCAAAATTACGAAACCACTGGTCAAACAAAATCGCTTCAGAGAAAACTTTCAAAAGGTAAACTTCAGGAATTAGTAGACAAAACGTCTGTTACAACAGGATACCAAAAAATAAGACAATAAAACTTACAATTTGCCAATCTTCGAGTTCTCGTGGGTCTATACCATCTGCGTTGTAAATCTGTCCGTCGATTTCAGCAATACCAATACATTTTGCACCAGCTCGTACAAGATAACGCATTGTATGCAAACCAACATTCCCGAATCCCTGAACAATGAAAGTTTTATCCTTCAGCCCCGGGGATAAACCGATAGCATCTGCATATTTTGGGTTATTTAAGAAGTTGTCTATCCCATGATAGACCCCCTGAAAAGTTAAAGTTATCAACAACAAAAATGCAGCAGTTAACAATAAAACGTTGAACATGGAAGTTCATAATCAACCCAAATGTATGGTCACTGATATTGCAATATAAAACAAAAAAGAGCTTGCAAATTACTGCTACAACAAAAACGTTTACGAGTTTTTCGGTTGCGAAGTTAATATTTATGTAAAATTAGTACGGTCAACAGGTGGAAGTGATTATCAGACGATAACTTACGCGTCCTGTTGCAGAAATGCGACCGTGAATACCACCCATAGCGATAGACTTTCCTGTTACACAAGCATGACTGTGCATATCGTTATGTCCTACAAAAAAGCAATGAAGTTCCAAAAATGTTAGAAGTAATATGTTTGAAACCTGGAAGAACAGAAAAGATGTGTCTAAACAAACTAATATGAACTTACCAATAATGGGCAAAACACTAGTTAACGATTAATTTGAACGTACCTACGGTGTTTGCATACGTATCCGCAATCCAGCTCATCTCCCGGGGTCCAGTCCCCATATCCGGAGCAGGAACATCAGTTCCAGGACCTGAAGACCTACATGAATTTATACGAACTAACCAAGAAATCCTTGTTTTGCCAACTCTAGTGCAAACCGACGGGTTATCCTTTCTAATTCTGCAGGAGAGTGGTCTTTAGGATTTATCTTAATTCCCCCCTTGGCACCACCAAACGGAACATCTACGACAGCACATTTGTAGGTCATCAGAGCAGCAAGAGCCATAACTTCTTCTCTGCATACATCCATACTATACCGAATGCCACCCTTAGTGGGTCGCCTGTGCACACTATGTTGAGCTCTAAAACCCTGAATGATCTTGAACGTTCCGTCATCGGCTTTATGGGGAAAGTTAACCTCGAAAATGTGAGTAGGTGGCCGAATTATGTTAAGGGTTCCTTTAACAATCTTTGTTTTTTCATTATCTGGCGCTTTTGATTGAAGTTTTGACATCAAATTTTGTTCAACAAGGGCTGAAGCCTTGTCATAATAACCTTCAACCATGAGATGAAACGGTATATCATCTTGTTCAGTGCTATATGGACATTTTCGAACATTCACAAAATGAAAAATTGATTTTCGACACAGAACTTCAGGCTTAAGTATCAAATTACTAAACAAACCCGATAACATTTTCGAAGTGGAAACAAACTGGAAGAGAAAACAAATGAAAAAACAACAGTGAAATAAAACTCAAGCGATCAGATTTATGTATAATTTAATAGTGAGATTATAATTCATAGATTCTAGCGCAAAATGAACTCAGCAAAACTGTTAGATAGAATTTCGGTATTCTATCTGATGTGAATTCGTGGTGAAAACCCTAGCCTAATTTCGTAACCTCACCGTCTAGATGTAAATCTTATTCCTAACTCCTCATACTAATTTACAAACTTCATATAAAGTTTGTTATATATATAACCCCAAATGTAGGTGGACATCCACAAGGTCACATAAACTCGCATGAAGTTGGTCCATATAACATAGTACCGTCAACTATGAAGATACAAGCTGAAAACACAAGCAATAACGTAGTAAACCTAGTTTACAGTGAATCCAGTTTCACACGCAGCTATTCAGTAGAACTAAGTCAAACTAACAAACTTGGATAGTTAAAGAAAGACCTTGAGATCAACCAATCAAATACTAGCCAATCAGAAAGTAGGTCACGAGAATGAACTGTATCATGCAAAACAACAAAATTCGGTTTCCAAATCAGTCTTCAGTCTTCAGTAATAAGGATAGGAGGTCTGTCGACCTATATTAATCCTTGCAGTTTGTAATACTGTGGAGGTCCAACCTCGTTTTGAATATATTAACAGACGGTGCTGATATTACGTGTTCCGGTAGAATTCCAGTAATTCACTACTCGGTGCGAGAAACGGAACTCCAGACGTAAACGGTTTGATCTCGGTTTTTGAACTTTCTTCGAATGTCCTCTCAAATGATCGGTTCTAGACGGAAGCAAAAGATAAGACATGTTAATACCAAGGTCATCGTTCAGTATACGATAAGCCAATATTAGATCACCCCGTACTCTACGGTAAGATAACGGAAATAAGTTAAGGTGTCTCAGTCTGTCTTCATAAGATAGGCCAGCTAGACCTTGTACCGTCTTAGTAGCTCGTCGTTGGACTCTTTCTAGCATATCTGCTTCATATTTGAAACAAGGACTCGCTGCTTGAATCCCGTATTCTAAATGTGGTAGCACATAAATCGGGTATAGTAATCCAAACATTTCATCATCTAAATACTGGAAAGATCTAAGAATTGACCATAATACCCTATAGCCTTTTGCAGCAGCAGCCTTACAGTGACTAGTCGTTTTGAGATCATTGCTTAATATGACTCCTAAATCTTTATAGTTTCTTGCTTTGGGTAGCACGAATCCACGTAGTGTATAGTCATACGATTCGTCAGAGTTATTTAACTGCATCACTACACTCTTATTAGGATTTACTTCCAGTGACCACCTGTCTAACCATGCCACCAATGAGCTAAGATCATCCTGTAATACTATTCTATCCAACATACTATGCATGGGTCTCCAAATCTTTGTGTCATCAGCGAAGAGTAGAACGGATGACTTGCTACAGTTGGCAATTCATTTACATAAAGTAAAAAGAGGAGAGGACCTAGGATTGTACCTTGGGGAACCCCACTTTTTACAGGTACCCGCGAGGAGAGGGCCCTATTAACCCTTACCCTTTGTCTCCTGTCATGGAGAAAGTTACTTATCCAATCGACGACTGTATAATGGATTCCAAAACGTTCCAGTTTGAATTTAAGATCAGAGTGGGAAACCTTATCAAAGGCCTTACTTAGATCTGTTAAAATCACATCCACAGGAACATTCCGATCTTTTGCAGCAGCCCAATCTTCTCTTGCAATGAGAAGATTTGTCAAGCAAGATAGGCCTTTCCGAAAACCATGTTGTGCCCTGGAGAAAAGATTTTGCCCTTCAACATAGTTTATAACAGCTATCCGAATGATTTTCTCCATCAGATTTACAACTGCACTAGTTAAGCTAACGGGTCTATAGTTACTAACTAAATCCCTACTCCCAGCCTTATACACCGGACTTATTATGGCGTCTTCCCAGTCTCTAGGAAGTCTGGACTGTCTCAGAGACATGTCAAATAGTATCGCTAATGGTTCAGCGATTTCATCTGATATGGCTTTCATAATCCTAGGATGAATATCATCAGGACCACTGGACTTATCAGGTTTGAGATGCTGAAGTAGCCTTAAAACAGTATCTTTCTCAATGACTACAGGATCCATCAGCGAGCCGTCACGGTCACAATGAATCATTGGTCGTTCCTCATTACCGATAGAAAACACTTTACTAAAATATTCCGATAAAGCTTCAGCTTTTTCGGCATCATTCTCTGCTAAGATTAACGGATTGTCTCGTATCAAAAGTGATGGAATTCCATCGCTTCTCTTAGTTCGCCTTTTTATATACGAGAATAACCGTTTCGGACTATATCTAGAATCCCTAACCAATTGTTTTTCGTATGAATGTCTAGTCTTTCTTATTAACGCTTTACAGGCATTCCTAATCTTACGATAACTGGATCTGTATTGTTCTAAGCCAGTAGAGATGAACATATTCCAGTGATTCTTCCTTTTTCTAAGGAGTTTCCTGACCGTTTTAGTTATCCATGGTGGACTGTTAGTCGGTCTTCGCGGTACCAGGTATGGTATGAACGGGGACGTAACTAGTCTAAAATTTCCTTTAAATACAGACCATGCTTCTTCAACTGATATGCTAGTATCTACTAACCAATCTGTCTTAGCAGCGCATTCCTGAATGGCTGATATGTTAGCTTTCCATACATTTGGGCGAGGTGTAACCTGATCGTATAACATGTCCCTAGTTCTAAACGCGAATGACAAAACAGCGTGATCGCTGTACACTAACGGTGGAAGAATATTTAGGTCGACAATATCCTCAGTCTCATGAGTGATTACCAAATCCAGCAGAGAAGAACCCTGGTTAACACCAAAACGTGTGGGTTGGGATACATGCTGCACTAGTGCATGCTCCAATATCAGGATTTCATGTTCATATTTCTAAATAAGACGCGTTTCCAACAAGGATTTGCAAAGCAATGGATGCATTCCTACAGATGAAGAATATATAGAACTCAAAAAAACTCGACCAGTATCAAAGTCAGAATCTTCAATATGAACGTCAAGACAGTTCTACTGAACGGACCTGAAACTTGCAGAACTACTACAACCAGCATCAAAAGATACAAGTAATTATGAATAGTTGTTTAGTCAAGATACTGAATTTTCGTTGTCTGGATCCCATGAGCAACAGTTTATTGTGGGAGAGAACAAACAAGCTTCCAGTTAAAGAGGAAATTAGGAAAAGATGCTGGAATTTGATGGAACATACATTACAGAAATCACCGAGCTGTATCATGAGGCAAGTGCTAACTTGGAATCGTGCAGGGTAACGGAAAGGTAGAAGAACAAAGAGCATAGTGCACTGAGAATTGGAAGCAGACATGAAAAGGATGAATAACAACTGGAAAGGATTGCTCAAGACAGAGATGGATTGGTAATGCTGTTGACCAGCAGCGGCCTATGCTCCTCCATGAGGGGTAACTGGCGCAAGTAGGTAAGTACATTTGATTGTCTCACAATGTGCAGATGATATTGTCATATGGCAGGTGGCATCTTGTGCGCGATAAATAACCTACACATTCGATCCAGACTGACGTCAGCACACGGAAGCTAAACATGAATTCTAATATTGGTTAGAATTAGGAAACACGGCTTCGAATTGATTAAAGTTATTACTCTGAATATCCACAGCAGCCTTTATTAGCCAACTCGGTTATCAGAGTTTAGAGATATTTATAGTCCATTCTTTATTTAAATTATAGGCACCGAGGTTTTACTTACGCCTGTGTCCTCGTTCACAACACTATGACTTGAGATAGGGCATTGTTAATGCTTATGCCATTCAATGGAGATGCAAATGGACACCTTTCAATGCATTAAATGTAAGTTTAAAGATAAAATCAAACTATGTATCTGAAGGTAAGTCACGATCAGCTACATGTTACAAAACGAATGGTTTTACGTTTATTCCTTCTGTTCTACCAAATGAAACTGGAACGTGTTCTAAAAAATGTCAGTTGGTCTTTACATGCGGACATTATGTGTGGCTATTTTCGAGGTTGGAAGCTACTGTATACAAATCGAGATTTTCTGTAAGCTGCTTTTCTCTCGTTCAAACAAATACTTCGTTTAAGACGCTTAGAATGTTTGCTTCGTTGATCGATCTTCTAAAGAGTTTTCAAGGACCTATTTTGAAATGTCATGCTTGTATCTAACATTGGTACGTTTTCCGAGTCAGTCTGATAACATTTAAGACATTTTCAATTCGCTTGGGGAAGAAGTATGTGTATAAGTCAATTTCGCAAACCACAATTACTCGTCTATACAGTCCTCTGTGAATACTTTTCAAAATCTCCGTGGAAAAGAAAGGAACTAGATTCAACCTTTGTCTAAAGGGAGAAAACTAGAAGTTCATTATCTGGTCGACTGGAGTTAGATTATGCGGATAAATCTCTTTACGAAGAAACCATTGAGAAATGAAATCTTAGAGTTTGATCCAGTTTTCAAGATAGATCGAGTACATTTTTGTTATAACCCATAGCTGCCAATCAGAAGCAGTGAATTATCGATCGGACCAAGGACACGTAACACACGTGCGAGCAGCCTAGAGTCCTGCTTTCCGCCTAGCCCAGCCAGTTAAGTCCAGAACACTAGTCTCAGCCTCTGCAATATGAACCCTTATATTTCAGACATACTGAGTTTATATACCGATCAAACCGACCACAACGTAGCATAAAATAGAAAATAACATTTGTACAAAATTTGGCCAAATGTAGCTGTGACTGTGGGAGGTAGTGACTAATAGAAAGGGCATAATTCAAGAATGGTAAAACGTGTAATAATGGTTCATAGGTCAAAATAAAGTTTATAATATGAATAGTTTAGTTATTTAACAGTTACACGATAAAAAAATACGTTTAGTATTGGTCCATAAAAGGATCCAAAAGTTACCATTCAATATGTGTCTCGGGACCTAACAATTTCTGACATTCATTGAATCCCCAAAAATTATACCATCAGTAAAAACATAATACTGTTACTTTTCCTTCGATGAAGAATATTACTTTCTTCGTTAACTTGATCTTGAACAATTTTCTATGTTAAGAAGAATGTAAAATTTTAGTAACATATTCGAAGCGAAAATGATACTTTGTTGGTAAGCTTCATAATCATCATTGATCGACAATTTTTTCTGATCAGTTAGCTATAGTCATACCATCTCAGCTAACTACTTTAAAAATAAATAACCATCATATCAACAAGAGTAAATTTTAGTTACTTCTTTTATTCGATATTTAAAAGAGGTAGAATCTGCACGAACTTTATGTAACCTATGTTTCTCAACGAATCATAACTGTCGATGTATGGTTTTATTCAAATGGACTATTTGTACAATACACTCACCCCTCACGTGTCACTGTATTTTACCAAG